TTGCTTCTCAGAGAACACATGGCACCGGCATGTACTATAGGATGAAGGCAAGGCCAACGTGGGAGTGTGATGCTCTGGGCAATGTTCAGTACCTAAGCATCGCTGCAGATCCTTTACACTTTGCAAAACTTTTAGAAAAGAGCTGCAGTATGGGCAACAACTTCAGAAAGTGAAAGTGATAAAAGGTTTGCAGAGCTGGATGAATGGACTTAATCTGGCTCAATCTTTAAAGGACATTTGTGCAAAGAGACAAATGCAGTTAGTGATGGGAGTGAGGTAATGCATAAACTGTGGGTGAAACCTGGATCTTCACAACATAATTTATTATTATATTTCAAAGAAAAGCATTGATATCTGCATTAACATCAAGACAACTAAGATTAACAGAGGGGAAAGGAGGATATATCCTTATAAATGTATTGCCATGAATCAGAAGAAATCTAAAGCAAGCTTACCGTAAAGAAAAGTTAAATAAGTTTGAGTTCAAAAAGGGTAATGCGGGCGTTGATCTCAAATAATAAATTTGTCTTTATTGGCGCACTGAATAAAACGGAAGTAATGGTGGAAGACAGGACAGGATATTAAAATGATAAAACAATGGGAGTTGCATCCAATTTTAGTCAGAGGACTGCCAAAGATTTTAAATGATCCAATTGTCTGGATAAAACACACCATGACAACTTGATCTGAGAGGACCCATGGGTCTACTTCTAACATAACTTTTCCGATTGAAGAAGGAATAGGTTTTGCCTTCCTGTAGGATTTATGCATCTGTCATGATCAGCCTTCATATATAACAGGATAAAGTTCACTCCCAGTGGATTCTTTCATTTGAGTCTTTCAGTCCAAAGCCCAATTACTTTAAGACACAAATCTCAAATCATGTCAACAAAAAGTCACATTTCTAAGTAAAACTTGAAACTCAAATCTTCCCCACGTTGTGCTTATATTTGTAAAACTACTGGAGGCCAAACAGGTAGAGATTGTTTTCATGTTTTTTTTCTGGGAAGGCTCATTTCACAGTACAGTGGAGAGATTATTGTGTTGCCTCTTTGGTAATACTAATAGGATTTCTCCAATATCAAGGATTTGCTGCATTTAATACGAAATGTTGGAAGCTTGAACTCAAGGTTGAGGAAGGATATTTCTGTGATGTTGCAGTAAAAAAAAATATGTTTGACCTAAACATAAAACATTAAATATATCTGCTTGGTTAGCTTCATTCTAATTGAGTTAATGTAATTCTGACCTAACATGGAGGATACCAACTCTCTCTGTACATAATGAATAATAAGTAATGAGCAATTGTCTGCATCCCAAAGTCAAAGATCCCATAAGATGCAGTCATGTAACTAGCATATAGCTCCAGGTGGAACGACATTTATTGAACTAAAATTTTTTGATTTAAATAGAGCTAAACAAAACATGTTTGATAGCATGAATGTGTGATTGGAATTGATTAAGATTTATTTTTTCTTTTGATTGGTTTATAAAACAAGAAGCAAATCTGTCCTCAAGAGCAAATCTCATGTGAAGCAGTTATTTTCTCACGGTTGCACAGACACTTTATGTACCCATGGAAATTTATACATACAAAAAGACAGTGAGGATAATGTTCATAATAAAAAATAACAAATAAAAAGTCCTTGAGAGTCATTTAAAATTTCCCCGGGGAACATACACGCTGAATGAAAATGCAGCAACCCTCGTTACGGAGTCAACAACAAACGTGTTTGAGTTCAGGCCCGCAGGGTTAATAAGAGAAAGGTCGGTTTTCTACACCCTGAGGCGCGGCGAGCTGCTGCAAACCCTGACGCCTGAACAGAGCAGGTAGGTCAGGCACTGGCTTTGACCTCCAGTGCCTGAGGAAATGCAGGCATCTGTCCGTGGTTGCTGCAGAGCAATCACAGAGTGTCTGGTTAGCTTTCTTTCTCATACAGCCTCTGCATCCCTCTTGCCGTCCACCCACTAACCCTCCGTCAACCACAGCTTCAGCGAGCGTAGTAAAGCTGTAGCCATAGCAACGAAAGGCCTGCCAATGTCCTTGGGGATCATTTCTTGACAGCATTCCCCTGTGTCTTCATTTAGCGAAAGGTTGCTCCCTCTGCTGAGTAACTGTTTATCGTTGCAGACATGTAAGCTGCGGTGGCCGTTGGCCGCCTTTATCATCCTCCCATCTGTTAGGTCCTACCACTCCACTCGTTCTGGATGCTGAAACTAATCCCCGAAACTTGTGATAGGAATTTAAAGCTGCCAACTCTGAGTTCCATCCAAAAAGCCCCAGGACAGTAAACAGGGAGAAGGCGGAAAAGGGGGAGGAGTGAAACATCTTTTTGGATAACAATCAGGTTGGTGACAGAGCACCATTTCAGCTTTATCTTAGTTCCTGTGTGTTCCTCACTCGCTACAAGGTCATCTTCTCATCACTGAAATTACAAATCAGCCTCCGAAGGTGTTTCTGACTTAACCCTCTGCAATCATTGCACGTCCCTCACAAACCGCCAGTCAGAGGGAAGATGTACAGGATGGGTTTGCTTCCAGTAACAGATGGTGGAAAGAAAATGACATTAGAAGAGAGTTGAAGGATGACTGGGAAACATCAGCTCCGCCAGAATAAATTGGAAGTATCAAAACGACACAATTCCTTTTTAGAGGCAGAAAGATCAAAAGTAGGATCTTTGCTGGCCGCTGTGCACCTTTGATATGCCTATAGCAGGCCAGTGAAAAAGACACAAACTCTGAATACTGAAAGATTCTTTGAAATTAATATTTTATGAACAGACTGGTTAAAACATATTTCCCTTTTTACAGATTTCTTCTGGGGTTTATTTGTCACCTTCACCTGTTTCAGATAATTAACTAATTTTTTTTGTAGCATTCAAAACCTATCAAAGGCAATAAAAATGCGATTTTTTTTTTGTGTTTATTACAAGAAAAAAGCAATCCCAGCAAACCTATCTTAATGTGATAAAGTAATCACACCCCCCACCCAGCCCAGACCAGTAGCATTTACAATAATCGTTTATCATTTTTGCTCACGTCAAAGCACAACATTTTTAAAGTTATGCCACAGCATCTCAATGAGATTCGACACTGAACTTTGTCTAGGCCACCTCAAAACTTTCATTTTGCTTTTTGAGCCATTCAGAGATTAACTTCCTGTGCATAAGAATACATTACTGTCCTGATGCAAAACCAACATGCTCTTGAACCACAGACAAAAAAATAAAGTGGTTGTCAGACATTGTCCCTCAGGATTTTCTGTCAAAAAGCAAAATTCATGATTTCATCAATTGTGGCAAATACACACCCATAACTGGCAAAACATTATAGGTTAGACAATAACACCACCACCTCACCACTGTCATCATGAGCTCCTTTCTCTGAAGCTGTGTGCTAGTTTTAAAAAACATACCATAACAAGAAGTTTGAATTTTCTTTTGTCAGTCCACAGAATGCCTGACTAAAAGTCTTAAGGATAATCGAGATCAAGATATCGTATGGGCATTTTTGTTCTTTTTTTGGTTTGAAGTGTTTTTGTCTTAGCGCCACAGTTTGAAGTGTTTTTGTCTTAGCGCCACAGTATCTCATGGGTCTAATTTTGCCAAGACACTTTATTGTTAAAATATGAGCAATGACCTTAACTGAGACAAGAGAAGCCTGCACTTCTTCAGATGTGTTTCTGAGCTCTTTTCTCACATCTTGGATAACTAGTTAATGCGCTCTTGGAGAAATTTGGGCCTCCCACTTTTGAAAAGGTTCATCACTGGTTCACATTTTCTCCAGTTGAGGATAATACCTCTCAAGGAACTCTCTAAAACTGGAGTTGAGCAGTCTGCCTCATTTAACGTGTGTTAAAAGGTGGGATTTGACACTCTCCATCATTCCTGATGTATATCCCCCTTCATAAATAACTTTATAACCCTTTTGACAATGACAGACATCGTTAACTTTGTTTCTTATCTGATTTTTAATTCCATTCAATCAACGCATGACTTTATGCCTTTCTTCCTGTTGTCAGACACGTTCCATTTAACTGATTTCTCAATTCTAGAAAGGGATTATTTTTTCTTTAGAAAAATAAAATCATTATTTGAAAAAATTATTATGGGTATTTAGGTTTTATTTAATGGCAGGTAACATGTGAGTGTGATTAGAAAGCAAAGCAGGATAAAATCATTGAGGGTGCAAATACTTTTCCCAATGTAAATGATTAATTTTGAAATATTGTATTGTATTTAATGTTGTACATTTCTTGATGTGAAACAACTGCTATCTAACATAGTGACACAAGGTAGAAATTAATGACGCATGATGCAACTGTAAATAACCCATGCTCCCCTATAGCCCTGCACAAGCACAACATCCAGAAGAATATAAATCTAAAGTATTGACCGTTTTGACTCGCCCTCTCCTTTTCACTGACTGTGGCACTCAGCAAGATATTGGCTCTATACAATGTGCCCCTGCATAACAATCCTGGGCAGTTCAGCCATGCTTTTTGTCTGCATCTTTCTATTCCAACCCATCTGCACCATTAACATCACAATCCGCATCTCATCTTGAGTCAGCAATCATCGCGGATATGGGCATAAATATCTGGTTTTGCTCTCCCTCTCACACAATGATTTCCATTTTTTATTCTCTGCCCCAAACACACACTCACTCTTTTTCAGTAGCCTTGCTTTCACGGCCACCCACGCAGGCATCTGTAAAAGAGCATGTGTGGTTCGCAGCGTTTGTGCGGTCCACGCAGGCAGAAACTGTCAGATTCCGAGCCCTTAATGTGTTACATCCTCTGTGTGCTGCTGGTTCCTCATAATTGCGGGTTTTGCTGCCAGATACCCAAGGCAAATATTTTTCAACATCCTTGACTCTGTTTTTATTTTACTTCAGTTTGTTTTATGTGGAAAAAACTTTACGAGGCAGATTGGTTGCGAGTGAGAAAACAGAACGTCTCACCTGCTTGTTTTTATTTCTGTTTTCTTCCCGTTAAACAGGTGAATGATTGTGACACAGAGACCAGCCTTCGCAGCGCGACCCCATCCCATGTTGCTCCCTCCTCTCAGGGAATGGCCAAGGTCCAGGATGGACACACGAACACATGTGAAAGGTAGAGATTGTTTGCAAGCAGCCTATCAATAAATCAGCATGGGATTGTTTTACTCCTTTTCAGTGGTCAGGTGGTTGTGTTGTGTATATAGTGATGCTTCCTGAAACCGCTCACATTGTCACAATTTACATCCATAAGATTCATCTGTCATGAAATTTAAAGTGGGTTTAGGTTCCCAGCAAAACAGATTTGGTGGAAGAATCTGTTGATACGACACCTGACTACACAAGAAATGAAGGACAAAAATATCAGTGCTGAAGAAAAAGCTGAAAGTCCAATTTGCAGTTTGTCTTGAACAGTGCACAGCCAGCATGTGGCAAACATGTGGTTGAAAGCAGTATGAAATGTTTTGGCCCACATGAAAAGTCATATATTGCGTTTTGCACACTACATCACGTTGAATAGATGATGAAATGAGGTGGCGGCAACATCGCAGCATCGTGTTGTGTTGATTTTTTTTCTTTAGCCAGAAAACTGTTGCGAAAACTTGCTAGAGATAAGTACAGACCAATACAGTATCAAAAGTTTCTGGAGGCTTAATACTTTAAACTGGTTTGGAAGTTCACCATTCTGCAAGATAACTGCCCTAAACATGTCAGTAGAGCTACAATGCAATAATTCAGATCAACGCATATCCATATAGTTATGGTGCAGTCAAAGTCCAGACCTAAATCCTATCAAGTGTCTGTGAAAATATATATTCACTGACACCCTCCATACAGTTGGACTGAGCTGAGCCAGAAGTCTCTTGGTGTACAAAGCTGGTGTTGACATTATCCAAAGAACTGACAGCTGTATTTGCAGTAAAAGGTTATTCGCAGGGTGTTGACTCAGAAATGCTCAATGCCGCACTTTTTATTGTGCACAAGATGTCCCAACAAAATACATCCCAGTTTGAGATTGCAAAGTGACACCATGTGTTCAATATTTGTCAAAAAATTAGCCTGAATTTGCAAATTCTGAATTTCTGAATTTGCGTTTACTTCACAGCACTGACATGTTAGAGGAGAGCCACGATGGTATGGACAGTGGCACCCTGAGTCCTCCTTCAGCTCGACAAGTTACCATCAAGCGCCACCCTACTCAAGGCTTTGGCTTCATAGCAGGCAGCCAGAGGCCTGTCATCGTTCGCTCCGTCTCTGCCGGTTAGTCAACATGTATGTTTGGTAAAAAGGGACCGGACGTCAGCAAGAGAGATTTCATCAGATGAGACTATAATTTTTGCTGTATGTCTTTTGTCAATAGACGGCCCCTCCTTTGGAAAACTTCTGCCTGGAGACCAGATCTTGGCCATAAACGAAGAGACGGTGAGCGACGCGCCACGAGAGAGAGTCATAGACCTTGTAAGGTAACATCCTTTACTGTCCCAGGAGGGAGGGAAGGTGGGAGGAGGAAGTGGGTCTTAAAGTCAGGGGACCAACAACAATGGCAAATGGGAACAAAAAACTGAAGACTTGGGTAAAGAGGATGGACTCAAAAGAAGAAACAGTTTCTTACAGCATCAACAACAAACCTGTGGATGACTCAGTCCTTTTGGAGCCAAGGAACAGCAATAAAGCAGCAGATAAAAACTGTTCTTTCAGTGCTTCACTCTGTGTGGCACTATCTAATCCCCTCTACTTTCTGCTGTCTCTCAACAGACGCTGCAAAGACACCATAGTTCTCACTGTGCTGCAGCCCCATCAGGTAATACAATGGGGTGCTCTCCTTTTCATCCTCTCCTCCCTAAAGATTCCTCCTTGTCCTCGTCAGTCGCAGCTCTTTTCCCTTTCCATTTGAATCGTGCGGCTAAACAAAGTGCAGTGTTCTGTTCCAGTGGCGCAGCATGAGGACGTACATTAGTATTCATGACCTTGCTCCATACACTGGAGTAATTTCTTTTCCTGGTAACCCTGCACAGCAATTCCAAGTGGGGACATAAACAGCTACACGAGACTTTAATAAACAAGAATTTTATGTGGATGCATCATTCCCTGCAGAAACAATAGAAATGCACAATTCATCTTGCTAAGAACCACCAGAAGATTTTATGTTGTTTGTTGCATAAAGATAAAAAATAAACATTAAAATAAAGTATCTTATTTGGAGGCTAGAGTTATGCCTATGATATGTCTACATAAAATTCTAAAGGTTAGACAAATCTTATATAAAGAAACTTTTTTTGTGGATGAATTTTGCATTTAAATCTTGCAGCTGCAACTTTACACCCGATTTATTGACAGTTCCTTAATGCATGTCTTTTTAGTGCAAGTCATGACTCACTTGTAAGTCATACATCAATCAGCAATGCTTCACAGAGTAACCATCACTCTCTTTATGTTTTTAGTCACCTAAATCTGCCTTCATAAGTGCAGCCAAAAAGGCCCGCCTGCGAACCAACCCTCCTAAAGTGCGCTTTTCAGAGCAAGTGTCGATCAGCGACCTGGACTCAGTAAGTTTTAGCTGCATTAAAATAATTGCTGTTGCCCTTTCATCCCCTTCTTTGCAAGCTTTTATTTTTTTTTAGCAGGAAACGTAAGAAAGAGCAAAACCATCTCTCTCTTCTATCTCTATGTGAGTGCATCGGGCAGAGACAGGAAGTTTGGTCAACCTTTTTGACACTTAATAAATTGCTTTTTTTTTGACAGATTTGGCTTTTCTCAAGTGTGTCTTGTGACTCTTTTGTTAGTTGTTTGAAAACAGCCAAAAAAAATAATAATATGGATGTTTCGCCTATCATCCAAAAGTCTTTGGTTCTGATAATGTGCTGGGAGCTCCTAGCATATAAATGGTAGATGGAAGGATTACACTAATAGGGACAGTAAGGACAAGTGGGTTACTGACCCAAACACACTTCCTGTGACATTTCTTTTGGGCAGCTGCCCAGAGAAAAGTTGTAATGTAAGACACTAAGCACCCTTTAGTAAGGAATTTTAAGCAAAACATTTTGGTGTCTAGTAAATTATTTAAAAATGTCTTCCCTCCAACAAAACTATCTTTTATAGCTTATTGTGGGGTAGAGAATAAATACATTCTCTTCTGTTATTTGTAATCAATTCCTTTATGATGAAAAAAGTTGGTTGGCTAAAATCAATTAGTAAATAATTCAACTTCATTTACTCATTGAACTTAGGTATAGATTGAAAAGAACTGAAGTCAAACACCGGAGCTAAAAAAAACTCCAACTTCACTGGACAAAGTATCTAACTTTCCTACACTACGACTAAGTTTAATAAAGCAAATTAGGTTAGAAAATTATTCCAGTAACTTGCTTGAGTTGTTTTGTACATTTATTCTAGGTTTTAAATGTACCTTACTGAAATGTACAGACACCCTGGCCAACACTTGTGGATTTTTCCTAATAAGAGCAATATGCGAGTTATTTAACTCACATGTTTCTGAATGTGAATGATTGTGAAGTCAGCCTGCAAGGCAAGGCAAGGCAAGGCTGCATTTTAGGTGTTAGAAAGTAGGAACACGAAGCAACCCTCTATGATTGCTATTGGCTTTTTATTTGAAGTGGAAATGGCTCCATTCTTTCCTCCTTTTTCTCTCTTTCTGTACATTCTGTATGTTCCTCACTGCACAGGGTGCTTGTGTTTGGATGTTTTATCCCTATGGTGAACTAGTCTCTCTCCAAATAGCCCTATCAAACTATTGCCTATCTGTCTTATATTTCAGGGGTGCAGGAAGATGTGCAGCTTTCAGTAATTAAAGCACCACCACACAAAATTTGATCCCCAGCCAGACCAGACTTGCAAAGATTGTTTAGACAAAAAGTCATTAGAAATTGCACATGATCATGTCTGTAACATGAGATATGACATTATGTATTAAATTTACTCAAGTGCTGCTCAGTTGTCAGGGTAATTACCCCCCTAATAACTTTAATTGTTGCCTTGCTAAGCTATGCAGATACTCTGTCTACGCTGAGGAAGAATTACTTACATTTGCATGCAGAAGGCCTGCAATCACTAAGCAGCCCAACTTTAGCAACTTTATCAAACTTTTGTTTGTAGGTAGTTGGTTAATCATTACAAAAAAAAATAAATAAAAAATAAAAAATCTTGACTTTGAATTCCACACATTTCATCCTAAAACTGTTGTCCTTTCATGCCTCTCAAGTCATGAAAGGACTTGATGTTCAGCAAAATGTTCTTCAAGCTCAAAAGCCACAAAATAAATGTTTTTAATAAAGAAAAAAGCCACATGACAGCAGCTTTATCATAATCATTCAGCGTTGTTATCATTGGCGCAGAGCAACAACGTCATTCCTTACTAAACTCTCACACCTTCCAACCAAAGAAGTTTACAGTAATGATTTATAAATAACATTAATGCTGTAAAGTTCACAAAGATGTCAAGCATCATCAATTTAACAAAGGAGCAAACATGAAAGGATAAATAATTTTTGGTCTTTTTTTAGTTGAAATTGGTGTGGAAGAACAAAGACAGCAGTGTTGCTCATCACACCCACAAAGTCACGATTCCTTAAATAAAGCAACAACAGACTCTTGTGGAGCCTCTTCTGTTTAGCTTTTTCATTACTTTCACATCTGCTCTGCCATGACAGGGCCACTGGTAATTAGCATGGGAACCAAGCCATTGAGACAATTAACTGTTTGTTTGAACTTATATGGAGGATGGAGTTTGTAAAGGGAAGTGATGGAGCTGGTTGTAATGTTTTCATCAGTGCACCGTAACGAGAAAAATCAGTTCACTCTCTGCACAGAACAACAGCCTTTTGAGAGTTTTCAGTTCGAGACACGCTCTTACATTACAACTATTCTTTGATAATCAAAAGCTGCCCAGGTGTCTCCTATGTCTCCCCTTTAGGACAAAAGAAAGTCAGAAAATAAGAAATAGATTAAATGTTAAGAGAAATTCGACGATCTTTGTGAAAACCTACTAAGGCTTTCATGATGGGTGTAAAACTCTCTCTTGCATGAAAAATCTCTGCTTTATCTTATTACCTTTGGTTTCCTTTTTTTTCCTGACCATAAATCTGACTACATTTTGAGAACAGTCATTTTCTTTGTAATTCTTTTGCATTAGGTAAAATAAGTTGACAATAAGAACAGAGTTCCTTTTTCACTTCATCCAAGTTAAGAACTGCACTGAACATCAGACCTGATCTCTGTCAGAGTGCTCCGAGTAACGGCAGCAAGGTTGAATTTAGCCCCTCATTTATGACTCTCCTCCATCCAATTTTCTTTCCATGGCACAAATAATAGATGTGTAAGCTGGAGAAAATGAAGACTCCATTCTTTGATCATAATAAAATGCATAGGATAGCTGTTTTAAGGTACAGCTTTGCTCCTTCTCTGTCAGGTAAGTTAAAAGATCTCTTCCTTGTTTACTTGAGGCATCTCTGCTTTCCATTGATTCCCACCGTCTGATGCCGACCAACCATTCCCCTTGATTATGTTCATCCCTGATCACCTTTTTAACTTATTAACGCAGTCTTCTTTAATCTAAACAACCCATTTTTCTCCTTCGATCTTTCTTTCAGACAATGCTTAAGGACGACTCCTTGCTGCTCATACCAAACGTGTTGAAGGTGTTCTTGGAGAATGGACAGATTAAATCTTTTACATTTGACAGCCGCACCACTGTCAGGGTATGTATGAAGGCTGCCAAATTGCTGTGACAAAGAATTTCAGGTAGTAGTTTTATTATAGCAAAATTTTAATTGACATTACATGTATACTGTGACGTATTTCAGAAAAAGAGGGTCTTCAATTTTATTTAGTTCACTTTTTTCATTGACTATTTTGTGGTGGTTTCCCCTCTGTAAGACTAAACTGCTGCACACCAAAAATGACTAAATGCAATAATAATGTTTCAGACAAGCAGTTTGCGAGTTAGTGCTGAGTGAAGAATTATTTTTGATGTTTTTTTAGGGAGTCAAGACTACATTTGACAATCCGTAGTGTATAAGGTGATATATTTCCACCAACATGCTCTTTCCAATTTGCATTTTGTCAGTTTGTACATAAATCTGATGGAGCATCTATGTAAGGAGATGAAGATTAAGGACGGTAGCAAAAATATGAATGAAAGCATAAGAGAAGCTATACACCAAGGTTTCACTTACAGCTTACAGCGACGTCACTCATTTTGACAAAAAAAAAAAGAAGAAAAGATCAATTACTGTGGTTTTACCAAGCAGGCTATTATCTTTATTTATACTTTTATATCATAAATGAATTTCTATAGATATACAGTACTGTGAAATATAATTCATCAGCATCTGTCTTGCAATTTACATGCAAGCTGCCATTAAATACAATATTGGGAATCTTTCTCATTCTTGAGTCCTGTCAGTCACAAACTGTTTGTTTTGGGGTTTTTTTAAAAAGCCAATTAAAACAACAACGATAGGATGAAAATGATTCATCCTATCATTTTCTATAACATAAAATACAAATATTAACTTCGAGGTTGGGAATTGGGACATTATTTTTGTAAGCCAGAGGTCATATTTATTTCTGTTTCAGGCTCTAACAAGAACTTGGCATCTTGTATTAGACTTATTAAATGCAGTCCATTAGATTTCCCATATCCCTCGCCATGCTCATGAAGCGTGTGGGAGACACAAAGGGGCACTTTTAAGGAAAGATGGATGATGCACTCTCCTGTCAGTCTAATTAAATGGAACTTCAGCATAATAAAAAAAAACTCTGATCAATATTGTACTGTCACAGATTGAAGCTGTACAGGAAAACTAGTTGTCTGCCCATTTTAAGGTCTCGACATCTTGTGAAACTTTCACTTGACTGTCTGTTTTCTTAGCATCATTTAAAACAAACCAAGATTTTTAAAGTCATTCCTTTAAAAATCTTTCCATTTCAAAAGAAGCCTGTTTTTACGCATCCTTTTTTACACAGCCTGTTTTTACGCATCCTTTCTTTTGCTCTTAATGATGTTCAATAACAATGATGTTATTGATGTTCACAGGCAGACTACAGTGACAAAACACAATTATAAAATCCTTTTCTCAGTCAATTTGACTTAAATATGGTGAGCACACAGAAGTTCAAAAAACTCTATCTTCAGGCAAAGCCCACTTCCAGATGTGATAAGCACAGTTTTCTATTAGACACCTGAGGCAATTTCTCCCCAGATATGATAAGCAACGAGTTTTCTATTAGATAGTCTCTGCATCATTCACAGATACTGATCTGCAGAAAAGAGCAAAATTTTTGCTTTGAACATTATTTCCTTGAAATACATCTGCTCACAATGTAGAATAATGAAATTTCATAAAAGCTTTCTATTGCTCAAAGCAAAAAATGCATAACAGAATAAAGAGATAAGACAGTAAACGCTCCTTGAAGGGATATCAGTTTGACAAACTGCATCGGAAACTGCAGTGAACGTGGAAGGATTTCAGGTGAAAATGATTCCCATGGATCAATTCATTTCTGTTGTGGTGTAGATGTGATTTCCTCTTGAAAATCCTTTCTGCTGCCATCTGTTTCCTTGCAGGATGTGATCTCCTCCCTGCAGGACCGCCTCTCACTGCGCTACATTGAGCACTTTGCTTTGGTGCTGGAGGCAGGTGGGCTGGACCAGAATCAGAGGTTGCATCTGCTGCAGGAGAATCAGCCACTGACACATGTAAGATTCCAGTAATCTGGACTGGCCAGATGTGTGCAAAAACAGTTTGAACCAAGCAGCTTGAAGGCATTGGCAAAAGCAACAGGAGACACTCAATCATAATTGCTGCTCAAAATTCACAAGCCAAATGGGTCATGCAGACAAGCACCCAGAGAAACTAATAATGAAATAAGACAAAAGAAAAAAAAAAGAAAATTAACAAGAATAACTATAGTCTACTATATCTTTTCTATGTAATTTTTTTTAAATAAAACACCATCCTCACTGTGAAGCATTGTGGATGCTTCAGCTTTATGGTACATGTAGGATGCTTTGTCAAGTCCAAGGGCTCCCAACTAGTTCATGCTGCAGTCAGTCATTCACCCATTCATACAGTGATGGTGGCAAATTATTCTGTAGACGCAGCTGCCCTGGTCTGGTGACACTATTCATTTAGTGTCACCAGGCTTTTCTAACCACCACCAACAAGTCAGTCATTGCTGCAAAGACCACAATGACTGAGGCAGACGGAGCAGAGAATTGGACTGGATAAAGCCCCGCCCCTTTGAGCCACTGTCACCCATTGTCCATCATCTCTGGGATGGGTTTCTTAGGCAGTCACAAGAAGACTGGGCAGAGTCTAAAGGAAGATAAATTGATCTAAATACAGAATAATCCTGGAAGAAAACTTGCTAGAGTTCACAAAGTATTGATTTCTGGAGGAATTTAAGATTGATATTTGTAAAAAGAAATTTACAAGAAAGCCTTTTCTACCCCTTCACAAATATGGACTCCTTTGTGTTTGTGCATCATAATCCCAGGCATATAACCATTTATTTCACTGTTTAATTCATGACTTTACTTTCCTGTACAGCTGAGTGATTTATTAGAAACCTAGCACAGAAATACCTCAATGTGACCTTGCAAAGATAAATACCGCATTCAGAGATCAGGCCCACTTAGAAAAACATGATCCAGTGTTATGTGACTAAAGATGTTGCTGTTATCTAGCTGATGGAGCCCTGTTTCCCCAGGTGGTGCACAGAACCTATTTCCAGGGGATGAAGTGTCTGTTCCGTGTGTGCTTCTTCCCCAAGGACCCTGCAGACCTGTTAAGAAGAGACCCTGCTGCATTTGAGTACCTCTATATACAGGTAAAATGCTGGATTATTGGGGGATTTAAGCAGCACAGTCTCGTGGCACTGTTGGACTTTTGTCTCTTTGATGTGCAGTGGGTGCCACGTGGGAGTCAAAGCTTTTAAGTTTCTTTTTTTCAAGTTTGCTATTGGATTATGTATACCTGTGTTACATTTGAATGGTGTTGGAGACAGATATTATAAGAATGTGAACAAGGCTTTAAAGGTGTAGGTTTTTAAATATTTTAAAGACAATTAATTAAAGGGACAGTTTACTTTTTTTAAACAAAAAAAAAGATTTCTGTTAAAAGATTGTAGTCAGACAATATTTCACCTCCAGTCAGTAACTCTGTTACTTTCTTTGCTTTGATTAAATAGTGAACACAAAGTTGTATTAGATTTAGAAGTCTTTGTGATGAACTGTGACGACACCAGCCAAAGTAACAACCAAGATTGCCATTTAGCATGAATATTAAAAACCTCTGGGATGTGGTGGCACACGAGTTTTGTAACATGAATATGCAGCAACTGTGTGCTAATATCCTTCAGAGTTTTTAACAGAAAGAAAATGCTTAGAGTTTTCTACCGCCTGACTCTGTTCATAAACCCCAACAAACTGAGTTCAAGAAATATTTTTAGTTGTAAAGAGGAATCCGGAAGATCTTTATAACATAACCATTGAAGTATATGCCATTATGTTCTCACAGAGTCGCAATGACGTTATCAAGGAGCGCTTCAGCATGGACTGGAAATCTGACATCACGTTACGACTGGCTGCGCTCCACATCTACATCACTGTGTCCTCTGCGAGGCCTAACCAGAAGATCTCTCTCAAACACGTTGAGTAAGTCTTCAAAACAACTCCATTAATGCCTCTGTGCAGCATATCAATGAGTCCCATAGTAAGGTCTGTTCATTCACTGTCTAAATGAATGATAAGTCATTCTAAGAAGTATTAAAAGTTGTAATTACTCAAGGACCATTTTCCCTAGGTAGTTATCCATCACAAAATCCATTGCTTTGTGAAATTACATCTCACTAAATTTCCCCATTTATTATTCCAAACCTTAACTTAGCAAGTAATTAGTTAGCGCTATCATATCCACAGTAGCAGATCAGATTCGATGTGCTCGTAATAGACTTCAGATTACAAAATGAAACCAGGGATTGAGGAGAATGTTACTTACCCTCACTGTGCCTTCCTCTGGAATGAAAAAGAATTTTTTCTTGTCCTTTCGGATGTACTGTCTGTCTTGTACAATATTTTATCTGTTGTGTATTGAAAGCTACTGAGTTTTTGCTCTCTTGTCTTGGTCACAGGAAAGAGTGGGGACTAGAGCCTTTTCTTCCGCTCACTCTCCTCCCCACAGTGAAGGAGAAAAATGTGTGTAAATCCTTGTCTCAGCTGCTGAAGACATACCAACATCCACCACCATCAGGGAACAAGGTGACTATGTCAGAAAAACTTTTTGCATTGGTTGTAACAATTCTGTTACTTAAAATTGAAAAATGCCAAGCTGACACACGCTTGATTGCAATCAACATAATTTCTCAATACATTCCTAATTCTTTGCAGGAAATAAAGTTTTTTGTTTACATGGTAATAACTGCTAAATAGCAAGCCGTTCCGGCTTGCTCTTCAGCTGTGTACATATACCAGTTGCATAAGAGTCTATTATCCAGAATAGTGTCTCAACAGTGCCCCCAAGAGCATTTGGGATTTATAGCAGGAGTATTTTACTTTGACAGATGTGCTTCTATGGAGTAAAAATAGTTTCAAAATATCTGTGTGTGTGTAAAAGTATTTGTGCATGTGTATAGGTATCTGTGTGTGTGTAAAAGTATCTGTGTGTATGTAATTCTGGATTTGTAAACCTTAAAAGTAAAATAAACCTTCTACGCATACCAATGTTGAAATGGCATGCACAAGTAACCTGGTACACATACACAAAACTGCATTTATGCATAGATTCGGTTACGAGCGCACGACTATATTCTACTACCATTAAAAACGCACCATGTACTCACAAATCTGGAGCTCCCGAAGCATGAAATGAGTCTCAGAAATACTTGTGCACTCGTAACTGGATCTGTGCGTAAATGCAGTTTTGTGTGTGTGTACTATGTGACTTACTTACGTGACATACAGACGTAATGTACTTTTTCAACATTTGTAGGCGTAGGAGAAGGTACATTTTATTTTTAAGGTTTACAAGTCTAGTATTACACACACGCAGATATTTTTATACACCCACAAATATTTTTATGTACACTCAAATACTTATGCACATGCACAAATACTTCTGCACATGCACAAATACTTCTGCACATGCACAGATACTTTTACACACACACACAGATATTTTCAAACTATTTTCACTCCATATTTTTCTAATTGTCACTGTGCTGGCAGGTTCCTCCACTCCAGGGAAAGCTACAGTACATGAGAATAATCAACGATCTTCCACCTTTTGGTGGAATACTCTTTCACACAGTGGGATTGGTAATATATGTTTGAATATTTGCATTCAAAAATAGAAACTTCTGTGCTCAATAGATCCTTATTTAAAATATTTTTATTCCTTCAAAACTTTCATTCAGACCTGTGCAGTGACAGAATATGTGACAACCTGTTATTTTATCTTATGCACTCTGTTTTAGGACGAAAAGCAGTCTGCCACAACACTATTAGTGGGGCCTCGACATGGAATCAGTCATGTTATTGATCTCAAAAACAATCTCACAACCGTTCTGGCTGAGTTCAGTAGGATTTCCAAGATCCAGCTTTATAGAGAGAGTCAAGGAGTAGCTCGTGTTGAAGTATCAATTCATGAGGCCAAGGTAATACAGGTCGCATCCATACGAAAATTGTATTATTTTAAATGTGCTTTCACATAGAAATAACACAAGCGTTTATGAACAGTTGCTCAAGAGAGTGATTCTCAAGTGTTTTACAGCAAGTACTGTACTAACATTTTTGGAAGAAAATAGTACAGGAGAACTTAATTGTTGTGTCTGAATGATAAAACTAAAAAAACAGCCAACTAGGTGGAAGTGCATGAGGGATACAACAAGATAACCTTTACTCCAAAAAGTTTGAAATGACAACAATAAGGTATCTAAGACATCTAGAAGTCAAAAAGGAAACAAGAGGTTCCTAAAACCTTTTTTTAAATAATTTAATTTGATCTATAATTTAGTGATGGCAGCAGAAAAAAATTACGCTCTTCTGATTGTTTTAGAATTTATTCTCATAAAAATTTTGTAAGGCATACCGGACATTATACAATACATGTGTGAAGATGTAGCTGCAATTTTTAAAGAACATAGTGTAGAGAAGCACAGAAAGCTAAGTAGCTTTTATTGCTGGTTGTAGTTAGAAAATTACTTTGCAAATCAGACTGGTTTATGATTGGTTGTGTTTGATATGATTTTCAGAATTTTTACATAGCACTTCTATGTGTATTATATTTCTAATGTACCAAAGTACTTGAACTACTCAGCAGTTTTAATGATTAACTATACAATTACCAAACAAAAAACTAAGGGCCGCTAAAGATTGCTTGCAGTTTGAGAACCATAGCTCAAATAAAGTTACCATAGCTTTGTAACTTTATTTGAACAACTTTTTTTGAACAGAGTACTGTAAAATAATCCATCTATATTTCTATCTCTTCTAAAATCTTGCAGCCTCTGGTTTTACTCATGGAATGGCCTGATGCCAGTAACTTTGCGTGCCTCATTTCTGGCTACTATAAGCTATTTGTAGACCCCAAACGAAGCATCTACATCCGTAACTTTGGTCAGTCTCAGCTGACCAAGCCAGGTAAATATAATGATAGTTTTATGCAAACAATATTTATCAAATACATATATACGGTAAGCAAAGATTGATCAAGCATGTAAATGTGTTGAAATTGCTAAAATAGACTTATCGGTCTGCATTAGATACTGTCTGTAATTATCTGCATTATGTGTCAATTCTACATGGAGATTGATGAACACTGCTTTTTCACTGAATGAAGTCATTTTAACCAGCTGGTTTTTCCATCTCATGGCGCCCTCTGCTGTCTCTTCTTTCATCTTCATTCTTACTCATTGGACTGGAATGCCATTTTGCTTTCCCAAAATAGAGTAACATGAAATCTGCTTTCTACTGTAATGATAAACTTTTAGCGTTCAATCATGAACAGATCTTCAGCCATCTGCTGCATCAGTTTGTAGTCTACATCTAAGAAGATTCTTACCATTTTATCATTGCATTACATCAGAATCTAACCCTCCAACTTCAGACAATTTTCAGCCTTTAACATTCATTTCTGAAGTAAATAACCCCCATCTGACCACCAGCTGTTGCCTTTGCTTATCCATCTGGATCTTCTCTATCCCAACTAGTTCTTCACACCTCAAACTCTCCACTGCTCTGACCATTCTATCCTTAGATTACAGAAGTTCCCACCATCCCCATCCGCGAGCTGGTGCAGCTGGATTGCAAAGTGGAGGGCGGCGAGGGGAGGAGAGGGAAAGTTCCCACAGAGAGTCAGGAAGTTCAAGACCTGTAGTTCCTGCAGAACCTCAACATCTAGGCTTGTGTCACATTCACCTTAGAGAGCAGCAACAATTCCAGGAGCTCCAAGTGCACCCAGAGACCGAGCTCGACATTAACGAGAACTTTATTTCTCATGAGCCACCTGGTCGACCTCGTACCAAATCAGATCCCACACAGGAGACTACAGAGGAAATAGTTGGGGTTTTAGAGAGCCCAGCTGTAGAGAAGATAGGATTTCGACTGAGGGCCCAAACAATGGGTCAGTCAAAGAAAACTTCACGGTACTTCTGTGATTCCTGCAAAGCCAGGCTAAAGGCAGAGGGTCATTCAACTGCAGCAAACAGCAGTGGGAGCTCGGGGAGACATTGCTCCAGTGCTTGTGCCTCTCGAGATGTTGGGGCAGTAGACCTCATGGCTCTCCCACCTCCTGGCAATGAAGAAGAGGAGGAGGCAGATGGTGGAGGTGAAAAGTTGCAACCACCACCGCCTGCCATTGCTGCCCCACCACCTGGCTTTAGGGATAACAGTTCTGACGAGGATGATCCAAAAAGAGCAAAGAAGGCCAGAACTAGCACTAATGTTGAGATTGCTACAGGAAAGCAGGCACAAGCTAAAGAAGATGTGCCTGTGACACTGATTGATAATGTGGCCACAAGAACAGTTCGAGACCATGCCCAGGAGCTTGATGATGCTCTGGTGTCCACCTTACAGGCACTTGAGGCTCTGGCAGCCTCTGAAGACTACCCGCATCATCCTCAACAACCAACACAGACTGCAGGTCAACAGCCTCAGTCATACTACTGCTCACATTTCACTTACAGCATAATTTTCCTGATCAGACAGATACCAAATTAACAATGCATGGTATTACCAATGTACTGTTTCTATATGCATAGAGCATTTGTAGTTACCTATGTTTTGTACTCCAGAATTATTACTAAAACTCAAAATATTCCTGAGTAATTTTACTAAAATATAAGCTTCATATAAACAAAGACGATATTAATCAAACATTGTATGTCACAATGGGACCAAAAGAAAGAAAACATGTTTAAGATAATTTATCAGGATTATTTTTATGAGTAGCAAAGCGACAGTATTTCCAAATCAAGCAAAACCTTTAAGCTGCATGCAAAACTGTAATGCTTATCCTTTTTTTGTGCAGGTATATAAGTTTCGTGTAGATTAACTGGTCAAAGATAGTTACTTCAATCATTTATTCCATTTGTGACCCACATCCATATACTTCTGTTCAGGTATTTGTTCTTTGATTATACTAACTGTGTGCTTTGTTGGTGTCATCCTCAGGGTTGATTGTCTTAGCTGCCATTACACCTGAGTCATCACTGGATTCAGGTCATGAGACCAACTCCTCTGAATTAACAGATGTTTCTGAGATGGTGTCAGCAATGAAGCAAAACCAGAACCAGGCATATCTCCTAGCTCACCATATCAACAAGGAGCGTATTCTCTGCCGTCGTGACTTCCCCATGGCAATCCCTGGCTGCACTGCAAAGACCATAGGGACTGGGGCTTTTACTGTGGGTCAGATTCGTGCTGGTTGCCCACCAAAGCAAGTAATCCTGAGTAAGACTGTTCCCTTTAAAGTAAGCCCTGGCCAAGATTCAGCAATACTTAGGGTTGTGACAGAACAAGGTGGCACTCAAGACACTTCTCAGACTGAACAGAAAGTAGAATTAAAAGCAATATCAGAATCTATCAAAGCAAACACAATTGAACCTGATTCTAAGAAATCAGAAGAACCTAAAAAAGTTAATCCGCCACTGACAACTCAAGTCAATGCTGATCAGACCATATCAACCTCTTCAGAAATAACCCAATCTCAAAATCTGTCTGATGGTGTGAAGATTAAAACAGCAGCACCTCTTGCTATAGACCCAATACACAAAGCCTTACCTAAAATTTTGCCTGTGAACACAAGTGTTTCTGTCAAGATCTCCTCCACTAATATGTGCCAAGAAGCCAAGACTGCCTCCAATGAGACCATGAAGCCTTCAAGCTCTGCAGAACTTCTGCCGGTGGATGACCTTTTCTGCACATGCCCTGTTCAACAGGAACCCACACCTCAACTAAGGCTAAAAGACCCACAGGTCCAAAAGATGATAGTGTTTCAGTCATCCTCCCCCACAGATGATGAGCGTCTTCGAGCCAAAGGCCTCCAACTGGCAAATAATAAAGAAAATACAACAAGAGTAGGAGCTGATCCTACTTTGGCAAAGGCAAGCCCTCAAATACAAAGTAAGTTATCCCCTCATTTGCCTGTGAATGTAGAAAGGAAGGAAATATCTGAAAACAAGACTGAGGGTGTCCAGGTAAAATCCCACTCAGAATCACAGAATCAGAAATCCACAGTAAAATTCTTACCTATTTTAGATGATCTCACAACACCAAGTCCCAATGTGGAAAAAGTCTCCACTCTTCCAGCTAGAGACTCAAAGAAGCAGGGCAGTGACAAGAAATCACAGCGCAATGCTCCTTTTTTGAGCTTTAGGAACCTTCTTTCAGCAACATTTCCTGCAAGAATGAGAAAAGAGACAGATGAACGAAGAGCACAGTTGCAAAAAGTTCGGCAGTATGAGCTAGAGTTTTTAGAGGAATTGCTGAAGCCCAAGTCATCACAAGGGGAATATATACCCCAAGGATCCTCTCCTGTGCCATCAGGCACTCCTTGCGCCTGCCAACTCCGTACAAGTCCTGTTCTTAAAGCTCCAGGGATATCCAGGGAGCAGCGACGAAGTTGTGACTGTAAAAGAATGTGCAGGGGTATGCGACTACCAGACACACCAGTTGACACCACCACAGAGACAAAAAATCGAGGCAGAGAGAGAAATATCTCAAAGACCCCTCCAACTGTTTCCAAAACTCCCCATACCCAAGGTGGTACAAGGAGACCTCAAACTTTAGAGATCAAAACCACAAGAATACGATCTACCAGTCTTGAGTCAAGAGAGCCAAGGAGAGACCAGAGCTCTTGCTTACCCACTTGTACTTCTCGAACCGACTGCACAGGAGCTCCACAATACAAAAAGCTTCAGAGACGATACAGCATTGGAGAGCTAGACAATAGTTCAAACACACCTGTGTATGCTGAGGTGAAACCAAAACCCAAAAGTCTGGAGAAAGAAATGGAAAGAGTGAGGGCCACAGGATTAAGGCTTCCCACTCCTATAGAGCCAATTCACACTCAGTCTCATCAGGCAGACAGTAAAGGGAAAAGGGGTGTCTTTTTCATTCAAGGAGAGGAACTGCTTCGTGACACTAAAGAAGGAACTGGGGAAGTTTTGCTCACATTACCCAGTGAAGATAGTGATGACAAAGACAAATGCTGCTCATTTTGTTTCTGTTATAGGAAGTGTGAAGCTGCAGATGAAAGCAGTGAGAAAGATGAACTCTCATATTCTATACCTCTACAGGTCCTTCCAGGGATGGAGATGGACTCGCGCACATTTCCTGTTGTAAGCAAAACACTCCAGGTCTTAAATGCAGAGGACTGCAGTGGAGAAGAAGAGGAGGAAGAGGAAGAGGAAGAGGAACCACAGACACAAGATATTGACCTAAGAACCTGTGGCACACTGGAAGGGAGCCTTGCACGTGTACAGGCTCTGCAAGGGAAAAGTTTCAGTTTACCTGATGGTTTTTTAAATGCTCAGCTGGATGCTAATGAGTTGCTAGCTATCCTTCGACAGTGTGCTAACAGCCCACAGGCTGACGGCGAAGCTCGTCTTCAGTCTTCACGGATTGCAGAGTACAAACAGGAACTGGCAGTTCGATTCAAAGAGTTCAGGGCATCATGCCGACGAGTGGCAAGTGTTGAAAAAAGTCCAACACGAATGCTTGCTGTTGTTTCAGATAGTTTCCAGGTGTTATGTGAACTAACTCAGACCTTATTCAAACTGGTCAGAGGAGTCCGCTCAGATGCCCAAAGGCTACAGCTGTTGAGGAAAGTTGAGGAAGTTGCTATCAACTACACTTTACTTCTTCGTGCTGCGGAAGAGTCCATGGGACACTCAAGCAGTTTGCCAACAAAGACAATGAGCCCTCAGATTTGCTCCAAAACCAATAACATGAGCTCACTTACACGACCCATCAAAACTCTGCCTGCACAGTAGGAATGAGTCTGGCAGGAACATTGGATGGCTACTTTAGCCAAATTCATTATTTATTTAGCTTTTACAATTTTTACTAAATCTGCAATGAATCATTCAATTGCAATGCAACTCTTTCATCCCATGTTTAGAGGCCCTGAGGTAGCCTTGTTTTGAAAACAGAGATACGCCAAACTAATGCACAATGGAGCAAGAACTCTACAGCAGGCTGGGTGATACAGGGCTAATCACCTCATATGAACATTTTCAAGATGAAATATATATATATACATATATGTATAATAAAATATTTTATATACATATTATGTATATTTTAGTTGTGTCTATACAGCAAATATTATAAAGTTGGTGAAGAAAATGAATTATAAATTTATTTAAAATATACTAAAGTAATATAATTATAAAGTTAACAATACATCAGAAGTACATGTATGCATTGAACTAAACTAGTTCAGAGATCTTGTCACGTAGCGACTTCTGTAAACTGAATAGTCCAAAGGGTTGGTTAGGTGGTGATGTGCTTGTGGAATTTGTTACCTGTTGTAATGCAAACATAATCTCTTTTGGCTGTGCTGGCAATGTGTGATATACAATGTACAGGCCAAAATGCAAGGAAACGAGTTGGAAACTGCAAAAACAATGAACAAAATTATAAAGTTGACTACTGAGGCCCCATTCTCTCTTTACAAAAAAAAGCAGATATGAAACACAAATGTTCAGAAGCAGACAATGTAGCAGAGACCCAAGTCACAGTTTTATCCACTGTACAGTAATGAGTGCAATTACATCACTCAGCTGTAGAAGAGACTTTGCCACAGTATAATTTGTAACACGAACTGTGTACTTTACACCTTTATCAATTTATGACTCACTTGCTTCTCACTGATTGTAAATGACATTAATAAATATCTTCACTAGCAAGTGAGTAAGCCTGTGACTAGGATTTTGCACAACCTCGAAACGATTTTCAAAGTTAAATGTATCCTTTAATGTTTACATATGTGTTTTTGTTTCATCCTGCTGCTGAAAACTTTACTTGAGTCAACATTACAACAGTTCATTTCCTTAATGCTAAAGCTGACCTGTTTCAAGATACTCTTTAATTTTTATTAATATTTTAAGATACTATATAATAAAATCTGCTTTCTATGTGCTGTTACACATTGTGAAATCTAGCAAATATTTAAACACACAAAGTAGTTTTCTATGTATTTTAATAAAACTAACACACCATTTCCTGTCTGCAATCTTTCTTTGTGTCAGATCCTCTTGCCATTGCCAAAAATGATCTATGCCTGTGCTGGCCTATTATGTATCATGGAGACTGTTAAAAGAAAGTACAATGAAACAAAATTGTTGGTGGTGTTTCTTCTGCACAAGTAAAAATGAAAAGAGAATGTTAAATGGTTATGTCAAAAATTCAAGAAACTTATTACCATAAACTGTATGTCAATCTGGTGGAAAGGTAGGTCTAATGGTAATACGATTAAAAGTAACAGACAAACAATTACTATCATACTATAATTGTGGTGAAATATTATTTTCACCACAATTATTAATTGAAAATAGCTGGTTAATCAAGCACTGAAATTACATTTAGAAGACACTACTTTCTGTCAGCACTCTCTTTTAACAGTTTTTTTTCTTTGCTGCTAATGTTGCATTTCATAACAGTTGTGTAATGTTATTTTTCTCACTGTGGATATTTTTTTCCCTCGCAACCTTCAGGGACACGTGTTGGAGCTGGGGACGATGATAATGTACAGATTTTTTAAAATGGGCAAAGCAGACAAAACTGAAAGAGGAACCATGTTCACAATTTGCAAATGGTATCCCGTATGGGAATGTCAAATTTTACGCAGAAAATGTAAATGATGTGATAAAATGTTTGAGAGAATAAGACATACTTTTAAATCATTACTTGTAATATTAAGATTTATCCGAGCCCTTCACTATTTTGTATATAGGACATGTCTGTGAGGTAATTATTTGTAGTGTAAATGTAACATAGAGACTAATAGCAAAGTCATATATTTTGAAGAAAATCAGTACAAAGCATGGGACATGTTTATTTTTATAAACAAAAAATATCAGACAATGTTTCCTCATCAGCCTGAGAACATTTCAGCATTCAAGAAACATTTTCTGTGTTTATCATTGTTTCTGTTGCTTTGCTAAATGGACCTCAGGTCACTTTGTTCCTTCCCCAAATTGTGCATCCAATTTGTGCCTACCGTATTTAGATAAACTACTGCATGTCCAAACATTTCTCCAGATAAATCATTATTTTATGTATCCATGGCAATAAATAATTATGAAATGTTACTAAAAGTACAAAAACCTTAAAATTACAATTAATAATTTTTATATATATATATATACATATATTTGTAAACTTCCCTATTTCCATTTAAAGTGATTGTGGTCCCAGTTTAGGCAGTTGACTCTGAAGATTGTCCAGTGAATATCTGTAGTCAGAGAAAAAATGACTTTCAGTGACCATCTGCTCGTAAATGTTTATAAGAGTCACAAAATTTTCTTATAGTAGGTTAATTGTAGTTAAGATCAAATTATTTTAAACTATTGGTTGCCATAAAACCTCAAGGACAGTATGAATTGATGCACAGCTGTTAGGCTACCTAACAGTCTCTCGATAGCTCCTTTTCATACCCAAGAGGTCGACAGAAAAGTACAAATTGGTGAAGGAGTGAAATGACCAGCGCTGTGCTAAGTTGATCAGTCTGTGTTTCATTCACATAATAACCACCGTGACTTGGTCTTTTGTTTTTCTTTTGTACACTGATTCATTCCTGTCTCAATTCACTGTCAATGATCTTGTCGACACTGTGGTCTTTTGTCTGTGTACAAAGCTAATTCATGTTTTAAGAGCAATAAAGAATATTATATAAACTATTTCAAAGAATTTGGAAATGCCATTGAATGAACGAAGTTTAATTTAATACGCAATTTTTGTTGACGCAACCTTTAACAAATGAAAAATTGATAACAAAGAAACATACCTCATTTCCCTTGGGCAGAAAATGATGTTGACTTGAAAGTGTAAATTAATATGTTCAGTCACAATATTGTGTTGTTGGTTTTATTGCTTAAAATTTCAAAACCAGCTTCTGAGTCAACACACAAGCATGCTAACCACTTTCTTAAGGTGATGTGAGAAATTAACAACTCTCAGTGCATTATATTGAAACTCCATCAAGGTTCATTCCAGCCTCGATCTAAGAGCTGCAAGGAAAATAATTGTCCTGTCAAAGGATTCTCCCACCTTAGCTATGGATCTGTGCAGGGGACTGTAGTAATTCTAGAGAATTACTACAGCCCTCTTTGCTGCTTTAGACCTCTAAGCTCTTCAGAACAGCATTTGATATTTAGATTAAATCCCATGCAGAATATTAACTACTTGTCTTCATGTATTTAAAGAGGGAAATGCCTAGGTTTTTATCTTGTTGCATGGCCATAAAAAGGGGGCATAAAACAAATACCCCCACACTTCTTCATGTGTCCTTTCCTTCCATTCCACAGTTCTGCTCTACTTAGCATTGAGTCAGTCACATAAAATTTAAATGAAACACACTGAAATTTGTTTTTGTAATATTACAACAATTTGAGGAAAAAGTCACACTGTTCTAATATTGCTGCAGGGCGCTGCACAAGGCAGATCAGTTTATCATTGTATGTGTATTTTGTAGTTTCATGGGCGTCAGCTTGATAAAAACAAATTTACAACCCCAAAAAAGGTCACAGAGATCTATGTCGATATGGAACCAAGCCAATTCCCAGATTCCTGAGAAAGAGAGCACAAAGGGATGTGTGAGAAGCCAGACCATTGAAAGAAACACCAGTTTTATAAATCGGTTTATGAAAAGAGGTTTAAAAAGGGCGACCTTCAGCATACTTTAATAGCAATGTGAAAATCATGACTTTCAATTCTGTGGATCTTACAAATTATAAAAATACTGCATAGAATTTATAAATAAATAAATAAAATAAAAAATAAGAATAGTTTAATCCGTAACAGCTGCATACTGATTGGATTTCTCGTGTCTTTTCCATTTTCCTCAGTCAACAGCTTTCAGTGACCTCGCTCGCGCACGATACCCATTTCAGTTCCCTTGTCCAGGATGACGTAATCGCGGCACAGCGTAAGCGAAAGCAGCGTGCGCGCCCCCTTCTACAATGAGCTGCGCGCGCGAGGTGTGGGACATAATGGAGGATAGGTAGGGAAACTCTGCACGGCTCTGTAAAGAGTAGCTCATCAACTGTTGATATATTTGTAGTTGTTGCCCCCCTAACTCGACAGCTTCTCGCTGCCGCAACCCGTCCGGTGTCAAACGACGACCCAAGCGACGCAACAAAATGCCGAATATTAAGATTTTTAGCGGCAGCTCCCATCCGGATCTTTCTCAGAAAATAGCAGATCGCCTCGGTCTTGAGCTGGGAAAGGTTGTCACCAAGAAATTTAGCAACCAAGAAACATGGTAAGCTTTTTATTTTATTTATTTATTTTATGTCGCATGAGAAATGCTAATTATGATTAAATGTCGTAAGCTGATGTTAGCTGTTTATGAGAAGCGGTGTCACGCTGAAAATTGCCGCGCAGTGTTTTCAGGAACTTGTAGTCCACGCATGCTTCATGAACTCACAATAACTTGTCTAATAGACAAGTGTGCAGAACCCCGGCATTCAAATAATTCAATCCACCTAGAAACCAAAAGAGTAGAGTCCCATGAGTCTATACTTTTCTTATCCTCCCTGTAAGCCTTGATCAGGCCGAACCACATGGTGACACAAGCCATTGTTTATTCTGTTTCATATGACCTGCTTGCTTGGCTCAAAGTGCTGTTTGTTTTCCCACTTCTCTTCCTCTGAAAGCGTGGAGATCGGGGAGAGCGTCCGAGGGGAAGACGTTTACATTGTCCAAAGTGGCTGTGGGGAGATCAATGATAATTTGATGGAGCTGCTGATTATGATCAATGCCTGCAAGATTGCCTCAGCCTCCAGGGTCACAGCTGTCATCCCCTGCTTTCCTTATGCGCGGCAGGACAAGAAGGACAAGGTGGGGGTGAGGGATATTTGTCTACTTACTTCTGTCATGCCATTTGCCACCCAGAATCATGACAAGAAGCCCGCAGACATGTGCACCCACAGTCAGCCCTGGAGGCGCATTTACTTTCAGTTTATGGTTTTTGCCTGATGTTATAAGCTCATTCTAATTGCACTGCTAGTTCCCATTGTATTTTCATTTGTCTCTTAATTCAAAAGAGACTGAATTAAGACTCTTAATTCAGTCCTTTAAATCACATCGCATGAGTGGAATGTGTATAGCATGTACGCACGCAGGTCACTTAATTTGAATATAATCAATAAGTGAATTTATTTTTATTAGATTATAAAGTTTTAAGTACTCTTCAAACCAAGTGACACAGTTCAACAGTTTATTTCTGCTTGTAAACTAATTATGGATTATGAATAATAACTTGAAGAAACTATTTATTAAGAAATGATATGTTGAGATTTTTACAATAATGGAGGCTCCGGACAACATAGTTGTCTAGCAAACACCTATTGACACCCTTCACTGAGAGGAGTGTACGTCTAAAGGGAAGATTTGTTATTTAGATTACTATGAAGAAGTAAACCAATGGAATGTCCAGTGGAAGGAAAAAATGTAGTCACATAAGATGCACAAGCAAAAGTATTTTTTTGTGATCTTCTTAGCTGTAGTCATTAGTACAAAAATACTTACAAAATATACATCTTACTTATAAGTAAATGCATTATTAACATTAAGTAAGTATAATTTGTCTGTATTTAGTGTAGACTTTTATAGATTTTATCCTTTTACCAGTACGACTGAAGTCTGGTGCTGAGCGATATTTTTAGAAATGAGCCATGCCTGCTAGATTTTTTTTATTCCATGTGACCGAGCAGATCTGTTTTCATCACAGAGCCGGGCTCCTATCTCTGCCAAGCTGGTGGCCAACATGTTGTCTGTGTCGGGCGCAGATCATATCATCACAATGGACTTGCATGCCTCACAGATACAGGTGGGTTCCAGGAGGTTGAAACATGGCTAGATTTTATTTTGACTTTGACTAGATTTTGACTTCTGCCCAGTTTTACTTATAAGTAAATAAACAGTGTAACTTGGCTTCATTTTAGTTAGAAACCATAAAAAAGGTAAAGATCTTCACCTGTCCTCTCTTTTCTGTTTGACTCCATTGATCATGGTGAAACAGAGCACATAGTTGTTAATATAGCTTAAAATCTGTTTATAATTTGATTGACAATATTTTTACCCTCTCTGCAGTCATGCCAGAAAACACTAAAATGAGACATTTTCCATGTATAGTCTTAAGGGTACTGATGGTACCGTTTGGCTTGGCACACGTTGCACATGTGCAAATCAAGTTTTGATTTGCATTGCCTTGAATTTACATAGTTGTCAGCTGAGTGAGAAGTGAGTCCATGAGAACTGACCAGCGTGTGTTTATTTATTTCTTTCCAGGGATTCTTTGATATCCCTGTGGACAACTTGTATGCAGAGCCAGCTGTCTTGAAATGGATCAAGGAGAACATCCTTGAATGGAAAAATTGCATCATTGTGTCACCTGATGCAGGAGGAGCTAAAAGGTATGCTGGGTTTAGCTTCTGTGGGTTTTTTTTTTTTTAAGAATATTCTCCAGATGAGCGAAGTTTTTTGTTTGTTTTTGGTTTTTTTGTTGTTTTTTTGACAGACTATACTGCCCCAACAAGCCATTTGAAGTAATTACCTTCAGCTTGTGAACTCTGTCTCCTCCCTCTGCAGGGTCACCTCAATTGCAGACAGGTTGAATGTGGACTTTGCTCTAATTCACAAGGAGAGAAAAAAGGCAAACGAGGTTGATCGTATGGTTCTTGTCGGAGATGTGAGGGATCGCGTTGCAATTCTGGTGGATGACATGGCTGACACTTGTGGGACAATCTGCCATGCTGCCGATAAGTAAGCTGTTTCACATTGCTTTTTTAAAGTAAACCTTGCTCCTATTTAGTCTGCAATACTCTGGGATAACATTGAATTTTATATACTTTTCCAAGTCTGGATAGGTGTGGAAAATGAAAATAGAATATAAAAAAATATTTGTTTTATCTCTTCACTCATCCATCTCTTCAACTGTTCATTTCTTTGTCTTCTCTGTGTTCTACTGTCATTTATTTTTTCCTTCTATCATTCATAACTTCCATCCATCCCACCCAAAGAACAGTTGTAATTATCCTTTAAAACACATGAAAAAAATTGTGTCTGATAAAGGGTGACATTTTGAATTGAAAATGTGGAGGGACCCTTAAGAAAGTGTGCAGCTTTGGCTTTTGTTAATTAAGCTCAGAGAGAACTGCATTTGTATTGAAACATGTTACATTTCAGCAATGTCCTGTGCTCTTTCTTTTCACTCTAGACTCATCTCTGCGGGTGCCACAAAGGTTTATGCCATCCTGACCCACGGCATCTTTTCTGGTCCAGCCATTTCACGCATCAACAACGCCTGTTTTGAAGCTGTTGTCGTCACCAACACAATCCCTCAGGAGGAGAAGATGAAGCATTGTCCCAAAATACAGGTTTGAGATATAAAAAAAAAAATCAAGATGTGAATAGCTCAAGGGGATTTTATTTCTTGATAGACTTTTATGATTCAGACACTTGAGTTTGATGAACAGTTTGTGCAATCCAGCTCTGGTCATGTGTTTCTTTTCTTCCTCCAGGTGATAGACATCTCCATGATTCTAGCAGAGGCCATTCGCAGAACTCACAACGGGGAATCTGTGTCTTACCTTTTCAGTCATGTCCCCCTGTAGCAACGCCATCATCTGTGCTCAGTTGATACCAAATACGAGAAGAGGGAATGCCCCCAAATACTACTATTACCAGAGCTGTTCTGCTAAATAACAATGTCGAAAACAACCAATGAATGAATCAGCCGTCATGTTTGTTACTAATGCAGCCCCCGTACCCGCCTCACTCGCCACCCTCCACCCTTTAAGTCTGAAATGAAATCCCTTGATGTTCAGGGAGCCGAAGCAAGCGCAAGCTACCAGTTTTAGACAGGCTTATTTATGTGTATGGGTAAATGAAGTATTTATCCACTGTGAACTTTGTGTTTCTTTCAGCGCATTTAACTCATGGTTTCTGCTGATTGTCGTGTCACTTTGTTGTCAAAGAGCTTCTATAAATACCCCCGGCAGGTACCAGTGCTCAGGAGAAGCGTCTGTTACGTAAAGCTGTTACAGTGCTTTCTGTTACAATGAATGAGTGCAGTTTCTCTGTTGCTTGAAAGGATTAGTTACTCCATTTGAATGTTCATTTAACTAGTTTACAGTGCCACTGAAGCTCCACTCAACCAAGAGTGCCTCAAAAGTCTGAAATGAAATTGAATTCCCCTCTACTCTTCTACTACTCTCCCTTTTCTTCTTCCTTTGCTTTTAGATTTTTCACTGATGAAAACTTTCAGGTGTCTTGCAGGCTGAAAGCGAGATCTTTTTAGGAAGTTTCTTTCAACTCTTGAGGTGCCCTCATTGAGTGGGGAATGCCCAGTGTCTCCAAAGTTGTTGTTTTTTTTGTAGTCTAAAATGAAGATAAAGAAGTAGTCAGGTTTTTAGCTTGGGGTCTCTGCAGGCTGGAGCTTCCTTCAGAAATCTTCACCTGCTATGTTTTTGTTTTGTACGTCTGGAAGAAAAAATTGTCATTAATGTGCAAAACTTAAGTCTTTGTGTTCTTTTACAGTAGAAGGAATTCACCAAGTGTTTGAGGGATGCATTCTCAATAAATTTGAATATGCCAAACTAAATCCATGGTCTCCTCTTTTATCCTAAGTTAGTCACTGTTGAGAGATGGAGCTTACATTTGCATCACCTTGCAAAGGTTTTCAAACCAGCTGAGATTTTTCTGGTTTTCTTGCATAACAGCCGCAAACGTTTATGCTGTTCTATTAGTGAAGATTTGCAAACATGAAGAAAAAGTGTATCAGGCTTTTGAGTTACAAGCTTTGCAAATTGGTGGTTAAGATGGAAAAAAAAGAGATAGAGTGAGCCCTTTCTTGCATGTACCATGGAAAGTATGTTTATACTCCAAACACAGGAGCCTCATGCAGGTATAGCAAGTTCAGGAGGCTTTCTCAGATTAACCAAGCCTGTTTTCTAACAATTTTTTTTTCCTCAATTTGTGCTTGCATGTACAAAAGGGAAAACTGTTTTTTTCTTCTTTTGCAACATTATGCTTCAGACAGACATAAAGGAAGTGAAACTATTAATCTTCATTCCAGAAGCACAACTGTGTTATCTAAACTCATTTCTCTTCAAACTGTTATTTTATGGGTGGGAATAACAATCATCTGTACAGAGTTTTATTTGCTTTACAAAATCAGAAGTGATATAATTACAGGTATAGTCTCCTGTCATATATCAATGTTTAAAACCTAAGTAGTAATGTGAGACATCAACTCGCCGTATAAGAATAACTTGACAAATACAACTTTGTTGAAAGCACTTATGGATTTTAATTTTACCCAACCAAATTTACATAGAATAAGGAGGTTGGATTTTTCTACAGAAAAAAAAAAGTATGGCAAATGTTTATAACATAAGATCAACTTTGTCTGACAATCTGTTCCACTTCAGAAGGGTTTTACTAGCTACAACTACATTTTGACTGTCCTGAATGGTAATTTAAGATATTTGCATTCACATTCTGACGAGTAACAAGAATAATGCAAAATATATTCAGTTAGATTTTAATGAATTGAGATGCCTTTCAAGTGATCACAAATGACATCATTTGACATGTCACCTAAATTTGTAGACATAATTAAAAATATCTCAAACTCAGTAGTCAAAATTAAATTTTTTAGATATCTGAAAGAAGAAATTGTGCATCTGCCTCCCTGCGTATGAACTGTGCAAACAGCTGCCTGCAGAATAGTGTGCATAAAACTGTCAGACAATACCACAATGTAGAAAGAACTCAATAGTTTGGAATATGCAGAGAATGCAAACTTCCTGAACTTTAAAATCTGAAAAGCATTTTCTATGCATTCTTTTCTGACACACACACTGTACTTGTTGCACTTAAAATGAATTCAAGAAGCTGCTACTCTGTCAACCCATTCTTAATCTGAGAATGATGCATTATCAAAAATCTATTTATATTTATCTTTAAGTTAGTTTTACCCAGTCATTTTTTTGCTTTTAGTAAATATGTAATTTAATTTCCACTAGTCAAATCTAAGACATCTCTCATAAGAACTATGACTAATTACAATGAAAAGGAGATATCTCAAGTTTTCTTTCGTCCTAATTTAATTGATGATAATTCATTGTAAATCTTCAATTGAAGTCTCCATAAGACTGCAACTAAACCTGACATAATTTATATTAGTCAGAATGTAATTACATAATTAGAAATTACTCAAACAAGCATTTTGTGTCTTCAAAAAAATGACAAATATGTGTAGTCATCGGACATATGGAGTGTAAGTATGGGCGAAGCCGATTTTATGCTAACATGGCCTGCCACATGTCAGGCATTATTTTATCAAGCTCTTAAACGGGGCTGCTGCTAATTTATCATTTAGATTACATTAATAGTTTGTCAGCATTGTTATGCAAAATATCCGAAGCGAGCAAATGCAATCACCGTCAGACAATTAAAAAGGTTTGGATCAACACAAATATTGTGTCTCACTCTGGTGAATTACGCGATGATGTAATTGACTGATTGGTGACGTAACCAATCCGAAAATCGAGGTGGGCGGAGCCAGAGACACTGCCGGATTAACCTCGAGCATCCTGTCGTTTTTAAAGCCGCACCTCATATAGAAACGGTAAGTCTCTCTCTCTGTTTTCAAATGCTGGAATATTCAACTCGTCCACTGGAAGTGAAGCAGGCGCTTGTGCGGCCTTAATTTAAAGATAACAATAAAAATAACGGTGCAGGATTTAAATGAGACCACGTTTATCCACTGACATCTTTTGAGAGACTGACGACTGTGAGCGCGTTCATAAAAAATGAAAGCAAAACAGTTTTGTTTCATGCAACTTAATGCAACTTAACGTGATGGGTTTTTGTTTGTTTGTTTGTTTTTTTGTTCCTTCTTTCTTTCCCCCACTATTCAAAATCTTTAAATACGTTTCTGTATTGTACGTTACCCTTAACAATATTTATAATTTGAAATATGTGTTTAAATTGATTTAAAAACTAACATAATCCATTGAAAGAGACTGGAAAGGGGAGCTCTCATCACCAAAGGTGAATTCAGGGGGTGAATCCAGTTGTTCTCTCAAAGCCAGTTGTTCCCAACCCTGGTCTTCAAGCTTCTCTTCTCCTTCCTGACTTAATGTGGCTCCAGGTTTGCTGCCACACGCCGAACTTTAATGACTGGGTGATGAACAGGCTACAGCAGCACTAGATGACATGTAGAAGAAATCATACAGTCGTTTGAATCACGTGTCTCTGATCTAATATATGTAGTTCAAAGGGCCTGAAAATCAGATTCCGAAACTACTGCTGTAACCATACAAGTTTCACTTGTGCATGTAAAGTACAGCAGACTTACTGTTCCCAAGATTTTAAGCCTTATAATTTTTTGATCCAGGCAAACACAATATCTAAATTATCAATACAATTGTTTATGTGGGATGACAAAAAATTTCTCCCAATTGCTTCCTTATGTTTTTTTTTTTTGTTGTTGTTAATTTTGGATTTTATTTTATAGAATCATGTATAAATATTGTGTTTTCTGCTGAGCTTGTCTCATATCAGTGCAGGACTAACACGATTTGCAAATTTAATTTTCCAAGCTCAGGGATGGCAGGAAGTCCTGATCACGAACAAGGAGATGGAGGCCCTCAGAACACAATCATTCGCCTTCAAAGCTACTTACACGGAGGAACCTCCAGCTTCATGTCAGCGGTCCCCACCGTATTCGTTTTTCCCGTCTACAAGACCATTTTCCGTCAACAGATCCACAACGCCTCAGTGCACCAGGCGGTGGGACAGCTCTATAAAGAGGGTCTTCTAAAGCTCTATAGGGGCGTGGCTCCACCACTCCTGATGAGGACTCTGAATGGCACGCTTCTCTTCGGCCTGCAGGACACACTCCTCCGTCATCTTTCACTGTCAACCACCACTTCGGCCGCTGCCCTACCTGCTCTGGCTGGATTTGGGGCAGGTGTTGTGGAAGCTGTGGTCTTCACCCCATTCGAGCGAGTTCAGAATGTGCTGCAGAACGGCCACAATGACAAGCATCTACCATCCTTGAGGAGTGTTCTCATGAAGTTGAAGGTAGAAAGGATTAGCCAGGGCTATTACAGAGCCTTCCTGCCCATCGCAGCCCGTAACGCCCTCGGCAGCTCCCTGTATTTTGGCCTGAAGGGGCCTGTGTGTGTTGTTGTGGAGGGACAGGGACTCTCTCCCATGGCCTCCTCATTCGTCTCAGGAACGCTGACCTCTATGGTAATCAGTTTGACTCTGTACCCTCTGTCTGTGCTGGTAGCAAACATGCAAGCACAGGTGGGAGGAGAGGTTAAGGGTGTCATTGAATGTTGGAGGCAGCTGTGGAAATCTCGGAATCACAGCTTGGTTCCGTTGTATCGAGGAGGGACCCTTGTCATCCTACGGTCATGCATTACTTGGGGAATCACCACAGCTATTTACGACAGACAACAGAAAGGGTCCTGAACGTGGATGCTGAAAGTTATTCTGCATCAACCCTGCTTCTCATTAAGTGCAAACTTGGTAAAATGCTTTGTTCTTCTGATTTAGTAGATTTTTTAAGCCTAGGCCTTTCTTACAGAAGAAATTCTGATTCGTCAGAGTAAAACTCAGGTGTTCCATTTCTCAGTTAAATTACTGATTACTGTCTCAGGACTGTGTTAGAGCCGTTATTTGCAAGAAAGCTGATGATTGTTTTCAGAGGAAGCTGAGGTTGGAGGAAGTGCAATTCCTTTGTGCAACTTTTACAGAGAACTGAATGTTGAAAGTATTTCTCAACAAAATGATTCTTGGATAGAAAAAATCTAATAGTGAATGTTATTTCGATTGCAAGTGAAACAACAGGCCCTTGCAATTGAAATGAATTTTATTTTACTGCGTTTTTTTTTTTTAAGACTTGCTTTAGTTTTCTGGAGTTACTCTGACTGGAAATGCTAAGTGTCTTGTTCAAGATACCTGTTTATTGGTGGAGCACCACCTCCTAGATCCAGTTCCTGTGTAAATAAGCATCAGTTTCCTTGTATTTAACCACCCAATAAAAACATGGTTGATGAAACATAGACATTTTTTTAATGTAAAGTTCTTTTTTAGGCTTTTTTGTCATTGGAGTTCTAAAACATTAAACATTGTATTTATTTTTGGATGAACATGGCTCCAACCTCTGGGACCAATTAATCTTGATTTGTAATGAATGAATGAAATACAAATAAAATGATGTTCTGCATGTCAAATATGAACTGCTCATAACAACCTAACTTAAAAATACTGACTGATCTCTTTAAATCATTGTAGCACACCTGCCTTGATGAAAACAGCATGCTGCCTATTTTATGTACAATAATGCAAACTAATATCGCTACTGCCAAGAGGCTTTGGTGAATATTTCTCATGTTCCTCAAGTTTTAAGTCGATTATGGTGCTAGTTAAAAGAAACTGCCTTATTGATTTCTATGGGAATTTGTGCTCACTGCAATGCTGTCACATATTTGTGAAAGATATAGTCTGACATTTTTACTAATAGAATGGTTAGCTTGAGAACACAGTCTTTATTGAACAAATATGATCAGATAACCATGCAGTCACTTAACTTCAAATGTACAACAAACAACTTCCGATTTAAGAAAAATTGGCACATACAGGGAATAGAAGATCAGTGAAAAATGAATCAACAGTTTACCTTAAACTGCATGTTGACTGAACATCAGTTAAGACGATGTTACATGCACTGCAATATCAAGACACTTATATTCACTATCCTGCAAGTCATGTTATTGTTGTTGGTATGAGGTTTGTTAAACAAGGTAGCAGCTTAAGACGTGTTTTACAGGCATCCAGAAAAAAACAACGGTAAATCATAATGTTGTAAACCAACTGTGTAAACCGGAAGACAATAACTAATTATTGTCTTCCGGATTGTCAATTTAAATTATTATTTTTTATTTATTTTGTACCAATGGTTGTTGGTGACTTTTTAGGTGCTGAAAACCATTTAACTGGCTTTTGAATAATAAACTCTGCTGGTCTTTAAAAAAATCTTTAGTCTTTATTTACAGTTTTCATGCAGAAACACAGATAAAACTACATAATTACATATATTGTAAAAAAAATGTAGAGAAGGATGTTTCGTTTATCTACCTACTCATAGCGAGTGTTTCTCTTTTTATCTGAAATAGCAAAATCTGGGTATTGAGAGCACAGGATCAAAGGATCAAACTTTCTTGCAGATGGTCTCCATACAACCCGGATATAGTGTCTGATTTGTGGTTTATGATTTGGCCATTTTTAAATGGTAGGTGTATTTTATATTTATATGTTTTTATGTTTGTACTCCATTTGATCATCTAGGATCTTACATGTTTATAGGTCAGATCTCAACCAAAAACATCTGAGGTGAACTGGTTGTTTGGTTTGAGATTTATATCTTTTTTCTATTCTTTAAAATATTTACAGTATTTTCAATATTTCCTTTGCTTTGGAGCTACCATTATCTGAAATGGTAATGGTAAGACTGAAAAGCACAAAAACGGTCTGATCAAAGATTGACCTGATCATTCTGCTGTGATAACAGAACATTTGTGAAGAATTTCATAGTTAGTCCAAAATATTATTTAGCTACCTATTATTCTCTTCTTATTCTTTTCTTATAGCTATACAAATTTGTTAGGGTTGGGGTTGGTGTGTGTTTGGTTGTGTGTGAAGTGCAATAATGATAAGGTCTATGGCAAGCCATTTTAACATAAATTCGGGCTTCTCCTTTAAGGGCAGCATTTATGCTACATCCACCACTGTTTTGAAGTGCTGTCTAACAGTGAACCAGCACTACCACTTCGCGTCGGATCAATACATTATGCTTTTTTTTTTTTTCCTCATCAAGATGCAATAACAAACTAATCTTATCAATTATGTATTGCTGCATTTTCTTTCTGTCACTCATGATCGGCTAGTGGTGTCATGTCAAATTCAGGCCACTAGATGGAGATGTTGCAAAAGATTCAACGTTACAGTCATTCGTATTACAATTCTCTTGCGATAGGTAGGGGAGATAATAATAATAATAATAATAATAATAATAATAATAATAATAATAATAATAATAATAATAATAATAATAATAATAATAATAATAATAATAATAATAATGTTTATTTAAGCAACAAATTGTGATAACAGGGTGGCTGGTGGAAATGCACTAGAGAGTAATATGACGCGTGTCCAGTTGAAATGCTTCCCTCTGATGTGTGGGAGCCAATGAGAAGCAGAGCAATAGTGTCCATGTTGGCGTGCAGAAGGGCGTGTTGTCCCTATTTAAACCCCGAGCTTTACACAGATTACACACAAGCGCATCTTACCTGGAGGGAACCGTCTCACAGAGCACCACTGTACCAGGTAAAAACACCTTTTTACCTCTTCGATCATTTGACAAGTTAAACTTTGGGCTTAAAAAAACAATAATACCTAATCAGTGTAATCTGAAATACATTATTTTGTGTTCATGGGGTGTCACGAGTCTTTGCCAGGTGTTATATAACATTTTTGCTGCAGGCCACTGTAAGGCAATGTTGTTTTTGCTTGCGAATTGCCCGGTTATATCGTTCAGCCATACCTGACACTCCTGCGTTCTTCACTGTAAGGGAAGCTTGACTAATAAATCACTTAAAGCTATTGTTTTGTCGCATCGTGCATCCGCTTGTTTGTACATTTCAGAATTTTGTCATGAAGATAAGATTTTAGTGGGTTGGCAAATATCCCAGAGGTTGTGCCTTTAATTTTGCATGCACAATGAATACTCGTGTAGTTTTTCTGAAATGAGAGTTAACCTAATTTCCAATTACATATTTCAATATCCACACACAAATGCAAATCAGTGAGCAGTTTCATCATTTTACCTCCCCATTCAGTGTACCTCACTGTAACAGTAAAATGTGTGAACAGAATCCTAACAAAAGCTCTCTGTTGAAGGTTTTGCATAAAATCTGACTAGCCTACTACACCTTAGTAGACCTCTTGTTTATTTTATTTTTTATTTTTTTTCAACCTAGGTGTAACTCAGTTATTATTCCCACCCTGTATGGGCATGCGCTTGCAGATTGCTCGTCAGATGCTCCTCATATTTACATCCGTCTTCCCCTCTTTTCACGCAGAACTATTCCAAAATGGGCGACAACAACCCAGTCAATCAAGAAGTGGAGCAGTTCAACAAGCAGAAGCTCAAGAAGACAAACACAGAAGAGAAAAACCGACTCCCAACCAAGGAGGGTAGGTGTCAAAAGTGAAGGGGGAGCCAAGGGGGAGTTGTGAGAGTCTTGGGTTAACAAAAGTCGGTCTTGTCCACACCTGCTTCGAATTTTACCTTTTCTTCACTTTGCTCCATTGTGCTTCAACTCCTCCCTTCCTAGTCTTATGAGAGGCAAACATTGCATCACAGATCAGAAGAGCGTACACACCCAGCCACCCGAGAGCATGAAATGTCTATGCATAATGCCGCCCACAAGTCCATTATGCAATTGATTGATTTATATTTCTCTGTTTTATCTTTTTACAATTACTACAAATTTTATAACCCCAAAGAGCTTCCTTATTTCTTGATGAGTACAAGGAGAAAATGTACTGTTTTTGTTTGTTTGTTTTACATAGCAGTAAATAGCGATCATACATGAGAGTAATTCATTTAGGATCTCTCTTTACATGTGAAAAGTGTCTCAAAATGCTCATTCTTTGCCACCAGAGGCCCAAAGGCTGATCTACCTCTTTCTTAGTCTAAATCTAGCCCAGACTGGTGTGTCACAGGGGAAGCGGGGAAACTGGAGGCTCTGCTGGCACATGTTCATTTTATGAGTTTCTTACTGGAAAACTTCATAAAAGGAGGAAGATAAATTTATGGTCACCGTAGCAAAATGGTAGCACTGAATTCACTGTCCTCTTTAAAACGGGATGATAGAAGGTTTAAGATAACATACAATAGAGTAATTAATGCAAAATATGTAATAAGGATGTTTGTAACTTTTTGTATCTCCAGTCAGTTATTGAAGATTTTGTTCATGCCTGGTGGTTGGTTTAAAGTTTTGGTAATAATTAGCTAAAGGCAAATGTTTTTTTGGGGTTTCTGAATGAGTAACTTATATTTAGACTAACAGATAGTGGCAGCTCTTATGACTTTATTTATTTTAGCATAACCTCTGAAGGTTAAATAAATAATTAATTTATTATGACCTTTTACATAATTTTTCTTTTTGTTCATATCTTTCATAAATTCTGTTAAATAGGCCATTTGGACCACTGATAATTTTGAAAAGGCATACAAAAACCTTTGAGAAGGGTTTTGTATGCCTTTCTTTCATAAAAGCCATAGCAAAATTTCAGTTTTTTTTTATGCCAATATTACATTTTGCTTTGCACTTATTAGAAGTGAAAATGAACAAAAAAAGAAAAAAGAAACTCATTTACTTGTGCTTTCTTAAATAAACACTCATTGCAAAAATAACACCCCACAAGACTGTTTAGCGAGTCTTGCATTTTTATCTGAAAAGACATTGTTTCCTCTGACACGCCCGTGGTTGTGCTCTCCACCAATAGGTGTGTCAATACCAAGCCCTTCTGTGTTGCTCTGACTTTGACTGCCTGAATTTCAGATAAAAATTAAATTTAGAAAGAAGAAACCAACATATGTAACTTAAGTATTCAAGATTACTGGAACGCCACAACTTTAAAATAGAAAATATTGTATGAAAACCAAAAAAATATGTAAATATGTTTTAGTGCTACTCCTGCAGTACTTTAGAACTCACCTTATTCACAATTTGGACCTTATGAACCAAAGTAAATTTCATTCCAATGATCCCGGCATGCATCCACTATTCAGCAAGACAGTACTTCAGAATGGAATCGTATGTTTCAAAGACTGAACAGAACCTGACTTTCCTCAAAATCTATTTCATTTCCTTATGTTAGACCTTCTTCCAATGCACCAGCATGCATATTAAGACAGGAAACATTGGGACAGCAATGTTTAGATTGAAGTGCTAGTTTGTGATATTTTATAGGGGTGCTTCGTCATCTGTATTCCCCGCACACCTGATCATTTTTGGAAACTCAGAGGTTGAAATATCTGACGCAGGAATGCAGTTCAGAAAATTTATGTGGAAAACCATCTGTTGTGGGAGTCGCTATGTGAACAGAACTACTCTACTACTGGTTAAAACGCTAGAGTATTACAAAATACCATAAACCTATACTAATATGTATACAGTCACTACTGTGACATGTATTTATGATACAGGACCTCCATTTGAGAAAAATCTTAACAGTTTCCATATTGACGTAATTTGTTTTATTCCTGTTTCTCCTTTCAATCCTACATAAACCTTCTTCGACAGAAGGCTGTGAACAAAATATTTGACAGTAATATTATATTTTACAGTTTGAAAGTCATTTCAAAGATACAATTCTCATGAATCTGTCTTTTGTGCTCACGCAGAAATTGAAGAAGAGAAGAAGGCCATGAAAGAGGGGAACAACTGAAACACTCCTGCCATGATTTCGCTTCCTTCTTCTTCTGTCCTCCTCGATCACCATGCTTGTCTTCCAGTTCAGAGTTCTACATCTACATCTTTACTGCTGTCTGCCATGTTTTAATGCAAATGGGTTTAAAGGTTGCTCAAATATAATTAAACTTGTATCTAAATCTACATGTAATGGGTGCTTCTTGTGCTCTTTCTCAAGATTTTACACAGTGTTGAACCAAAGGCAGTAAATTGAGTGTTGGGCGTATACTTAAACAAGAATGAAAATGCAAATATACTGCAATGACGTAATTCACTGTTACTAATACCAAAAGTATGCCTGTAAATGGTGCATTTAATGAAAATGTAGAGAAGAATAAAGAAAAAAAACATGTTTTTGTTTTAATAAAAATCAACGTGACAAATGGTTTGCTTCATACGAGTCACTGTCGTCTGTTCAAAATTCACTTTTAAGATGTCAGATGTAATCATTCAAGATACATAGGAGTTTTGTCAAAACATGCCTCACGTTTTTTTTTTTTTTACATTCCAGCACTTTCATCCAGATGTTCTGTTAGATCTAAATATCAAGTAAACTGTGACCACAGATTTATTTTGCACAGTACTTTAGTAAAATAAAAAAAAATAATCATCTCATACAAAATTTCCACTGTCAGTTATAAGATGGTGCAGGATTCAATTTAAAACCTGTTTTGGTTTGCATTACATAATCTTGTCTGGTAATCCTGGGGTTGATGCATGTTCTGTTAACATTCGTTTTCTCAAAAACATTGGTTATCTCTTTTGCAAGAGCTGGAACCAAAATATTTATGTTACTTTTTGTGTTAGCAATCTGACTGATAAAGTTCCCTCACCCACCAACAGGTCTTGGCTCGCAGGGACAGAAGAGTGGTTCAAAATATATTTCTATCTGAGCTGGCAGAACAATTTGTATCTCGGTTTTTCAACCTAAGCTTTAATTTCTAAATGTAGTGACACATTTTGTGACTATTGCGTTTGCTGTTCTTCCTAAATGACAGAATACACAGAACAGAGCAAACTTTGCTGAATGCATCCAGATTGATTTCTTCTCCCAGACTCTTTTTGCAAATTGCTTAAACTTGTGTAGGGTTTTTCCACACCATCTCTGTTGGGGCACGTTTACAGCATGCAAGTACACGACAGGAAAAATCATCCATGCAAACTACTTTGGTCATTTTACATTACTGTGGAGTAAAATTGTCCCACACTACTTTGCATGGTTGTTTTAATTCAGCATCAACTGAGATTTTGCACATGGACCTCTTGTTTGAGGTGAGAGTACCTCAAATTAATCAAAGTCCATACCTTGATTAGGCCATTCCAAAACCTTGTTATTGCCTCTTTTTTGACACATTGAAAGGTACACTTGCCATGTGCTTTGAATCATTGTTTTTTCTGGTGGGGGCGTTGTTTTGTTGCAACAATCTAAATTCTTTTTTAGCTTTAGATCACAGGATGATGGTCAGACATTCCTGAGGACTTTTTGGCACCAAGCAGAATTCATGGGTCCATCAACTACAGCAAGACATTCAGGTCCTGAAAAGGCCCCTGAATCCCATAGACCACGGGTCTGCGGCTCTTTGATACCTACCTTTCCCACATTCATTGAAGTCAGCACTGACAGAAGCAGCAAAACGTGCTGCACAAGGTGTCAAATCTTAAGCCAGTGCTACAAGTCTGCAATAGTTGTTGGAGAGGTTGAAAGGGTGGCGAACAAGTTCAGCATTCATCACCATAAAGAGCCTCACAATAATTTCAAGATTAGCTTTATACCACATAGCTAGCTGAAACAGCATTTTTCTTTTTTCCCTTATGCTTTAGTTGGACACCTGACAGTGTTAATTCTTTTTACAAGTGTCTTCAGATTTGGTTTATGACTCTTTGAAAGCAAAAATGACAGTGAAAATGACAATGATTAGACTTGTTTAAGTGTCATAAAAAATAATTCACAGACAGAGAGAGAACTTTTGAGCTCTGTTCGCCAAACTGGCAGATGTGGACGTGTCTCATGCAGAACATTTTTGAAACAAGTAGGACTCACATGGCTCAGATTTAATAAACAACATTCAAGCATTAATACAAATTAAATCTTACTTAAAGATTAAACACAGTGGGTCTGATAGTAAATATTATTAATTTATACTCATAGGAGTTTCTGTTTCTTACTGATTTTTCTCAGTGTTTTTCTGCAGTAGAAAAATTGCTCCTTGCACCTCAAAGACTTGCTTCTTTCTGGTTCTACTTGGAAGACAATGTGTTGCTTTTTTTCAGATCGATTAGCTCATTCAGAACTGTAAGACGGGTTCTACCTAAACATTTTTCTCAATTTTAAAGGCCTAGAAGCAATCAGACCAGAGCTGTGTGATCAAAGTTGTCTTGCTGAGGTCTGAGGTCAGAGAGGAAGGAGGAGACTGCTGCTTTGAGATGGTTGAAAAGTAACTGTAGTTCAAGTAGCTACACTGTCCATCAAAACTGAATACTGAAAGATCAGAAAAATGTTGCTTGAACTGATTTGTCTCTATTTTAGTGGAATCATTCGAATGGTGGGCTCAGAATATGTTGCAAAAATACAATAAAGTATGATATCAGTCCCGCATTTCATCTGTTGTATCAACATCACAGCCTGGATGCACTGACGTCAGAGTATGGGGTATACCTTTTCTGTTTTATTAAAAGACAAAAATGGGTAAAAGATACAGGTAGCACAGCCGCTTTTGTTTTGTCTGTAGCCTATTCCAATTATCTAAATAGCAATGATTTCATACGTCGATGTGTTTTTTTGTCACTGTTATTTACGAGCCAGCAGCGGCCGCACCAAAAGAGATTTAATGTTTCTCTCCTTCAGTTGGAAAAGTTGCTTGACACAGCGACACATAGCGGCTTTAATCTTGTATTACAAGCGTCTCGCTGCAGCGCGAGGTTCTCCAACAGAGGGCGCTGGCGAACAGGATAAGTCGAAGGGGGAGGGGCGAGTGATGCTCCGCTGCAGGTCTGCTCAACTGAACTGGGCTAACTAATTCCATCACCAAGCTAGTTAGCAGCTGTGCGATGCGCTCACCGACAACAGAAGATGGACTAGCCGCTTTCCCCGTTTCACTGTCTGGATAGTCGCTTTCGGTCCGCGGGTGGTTTCCCCGCGGTTGTAATTAGCATCTGCATCCATGCGGTCCCCTGTGCTGCTGCGGAGGGTTTGAGCTCTGAGTGGCGGGAGGCTCAGTCACCAGCTCGCAGAGACAGGACGGCGGAATCACCGGTACCGTTCTGTTGTTGTTGTTAGCACTCGTGCAAGCATTAGGCAGGGAGAGGTTTTTTGTCTCGGTAGCAACACGACGTCGCAATTTCAGGCTAATAATTATCTTATACAGCAGTTAATAAGTCATCTGTAGCAGTGACATTACGATAAGACAAGTGGAAACAAAAGCTGAGAGCGATGGGTTTGCATGTGAATGGCGTGTTTACGTTTGAGCTCGTGTACTGGGTGAATACGTTTATGTAACGGAAGGAGGCAGAATTATTAAGCGTTTGTATGACACAGCGAGTGTTGCGGTGTCTCCCCAACAGAGTAGCAGCATGGTGGTCCCGGACAGTTCCGGTGTGGTCCCTGAGCCCGATAACGGCAGGCCCGCCGGCCTCGCGGAGAGCTCCGATCCCGTGTGTGAAGAGGCCGAGGACAGGGGTCATGACCTGGCTGGAGTGGAGCTGGAGGAGGTGCGGAAGCTCCAGGAGCTGGTTCGCAGGTTGGAGGTCCAGAATGAGACGCTGCGCAACAGGGGAGCCAAGACTGTTATCCCCAGAGGAGCCAACAGCAACCTGAGTGCTGCTGACAACATCAACAAGAGGCTAACCTGTGATCAGGTCAGGGTGGGCCACAGTGGAGAACCGGGCAGCGCAGATTGCAAACTGTCACCCCCTCAGGACAACAGTAGCAGTGGGGAAGATATGTCCCCTTTGCCCGTGATCAGCAGGCTGGAAGATGAGGAGGAGGGGGACAGGGCGGAAGAGGAAGACCAGGGCCCCTGTGGGAGCTTTCTTTCTCTAACATGTAGAAACGGCAGCGAACGGTCTCAGGGGCAAAGCCTGACCCCCGAGAGCCCCTCTCAGGAGAGCTACGAGTCAGAGACGCTCACAGAGAGTGACTCAGGTGTGGACCAAACTGCGCTGGATGAGGTGGATGTCCTAGATTTGGAAGACGAGTGTTTGGAGGTAGAGGATGAAAACAGCTGGTAGGTCCCATTTTCTCTGTATGTTATCTATGTTTTCTAGTTATGCAAAGAAGGCACAGTTAATGGTTCATAAGGTCTGTGTGTGTATAAAGGAGGCCCTTCAGCCACGAGTTTGTACCTTTCCATTTGATTGCTGGATTGTAAAGTGTGAAACTCCCCCACAGGGCAGAAACTAGGCAGCATCTGGATGCACAGAAAAGCTCAGCACCGAACTGGTGCCTTCTTTCTGTGCTCGTGCAGCTCAGACAGACATATCTGTAATTTAAAAGATGAGAGGAGCAAAAAAAAAAAAGAAATTGTGCTTGACTTGTTATGGTGAGCATAATTTGACCTACAATATATCTCATTCTCAGTGTATCTCCTCAAAATAAATAAAAGCAGTTTAAGGAAACACAAATCATCAAGTCAAATCAAGCTTTATTGGCATGATTTGACACAAATTGCTTCAGCCTCATTATTATAATTCATCATTATCTTTCATACAATAATTGATGCTTGTTTTTCCTTTTATTCTTATATTACATGAAGAATGATCAGCAACATGCTAGTCATGAGTCATGACTGTTCCACAGGTTAACAAATGGTCTTCCTGATCCAATAGAGCTCGTCAGCCAAACCACGCAGCTTATTTCTTTTTCAGCCCCACATTATTAGCCATACCATATGGGCTTTGTGAGGTTATCATCGCCAAAACATGGGGTAATCCTCATTGCAGCATAATCTGATCTGGCCTGGATGTTGGCATATGGCTAAACTGCTTTGAGGTGGATTGCACAGCATGTGATCTGAGGAGGGGGCCCCAGGTGTGACAAGACTGTTTTTTTCTGTTTTATTATTATTATTATTATTATTATTTATTTATTTATTTCTGAGTGATTAAATAGATGGCCCACATTTAAAGATATGGTGTTTTATTTTAGATGCAGTGTAGGAGATGCCCATCTTTGCATTCTCTTGCAAAGATGTTCATAACCTCTTAAACTTTGCCACATTTCGTCTGGTTTCAGCCACAATAGTCATTTTTCTTGTTTCGCATTGTGATATTATGTATCTTGAATCTGAAAATATAAATCTCTGACTCTCCTTAGGATTCATATTTCCCCCTGGGGTGATTGTCTATCTTTTTAACATTGATTATAACATTATGATTCTGGGAGCGAATG